ACGAGGCCCGGAGAGCTAAGCGGCAGGGAGTTCGATGAACTCAAACTTTAAGACCTCAAAAATCAGGGCCTGCAGACTGTAGACACTGTAGACTAACTCTTAGACCCGAGTCGCGCCGGAAATAGTTGGGCGTCTTGTCATCTCGAACTCTAATGTCAAAAAGACCTCAAAACCTGCATTGCTGACACCCTGAATATAGGGGCTTTAAAACTTGATGATTAGAATAGCTGATACCATAATTATATTAAGGAACCCCCGATCTGAATCATGGCAAGGCTTCGACGCGCCTGGCAGAGGCCAAAAAGGCGAAGGAGCAGGCTGGACTATAGGGGCTTAAATGATTACCAATACTATTTTGGGGGTTCCTTTTATAATTATGGTATACTGGGCCCCAAAACCCTGTTCTAATTATTGCTATATCAAGGGTCTGCGGCTTGTTGCGTCTCAGGCTCCAGGTTCGCGTAGTGGCTGCCTGAATCTGGAGTAGATCACCCCCCCAACCGGATTGCCCCCGTGCCGCCTCCAATACATTACACTTGGTCTGTGTAATTCCTTCAGTATCAGGATCTTTGTCCTTGGTCGGTCTTTCTGCTGCTTCTACTGCTCTTGCCATGCCCATACTTACCCGATCTTTACGATGCCACACGGCTCTCGCAGGTGGCTCGGCTCAAAGAGCCAGTAAAGCAGCACCACAGCTTGGGTTGGTTTGATCTCGCAGTGCTTTCTTCACCTATGTCCAGTCCCTGGACTTCAATTACCTAGCATTCTTTGCGCTATCCCCCCCCCCTCTGCTCTTAAGCAAAGGTGTTCGGCCCTCCCCGTCCCTTGCGAAAAGTCTTTCCCTCGCTTTTGCACCCGTGGTACTCCTGGGCAATAACATGTAAGAGGCAGTGAGAGGGGTGGATGGGTTCCAGGTACCGCTGTCATGGCCAGCGCATCGATTGCTTCAAGTGTTGCGGTTATCGCTAGAATCTTGACGCGTCCGAGTGCGAGCACCGGTTTGGTATAATCGTAATTACGGAAAGCATATTTGCTAGCTCTCATCCCTCTCTTGAAACTGAGTTTGTCGTGAACATCATGCTAATCCTGGGTTTGGAGTACCATACTTTTATACTTTTTTGGGAACTGTTCGCTGAAGGAAACAGTATGAAATCAAAGTGTATGTTTTTTCTCCGTTGTTACAAGCCCAGACATTTTCACTGGTCTTTCTGACAGTCAGGTCTCTCATTGGCATGGCGCTCACGATGATGATGCTGTTAACTTAACGGTGATGATCATGAAGGTTGCGATCACACCATGCATTACCCCACCATGGCCCTGTAACAAAGCCAGAGCATCACCTGCAGCTGCGACCTCGGGAGCTGCGCCTTGCAGTGCGCAGGCTGATGCCGTCGTCAAGGAGATCAACGACAGCATCGCCAAGGACATCAAGGAGTTTCAGAGCACCCTCAACGCCCGGAGCTTGGAATAAACACCGCGAGGGTGGGGCGGGAGGATACGGAGAAATGAAGGCATGCGGAATACATGAATTCAGTGGGGCGGCTAGACACTTACTAGACTGCATACGACATTGTACAGAATCATCGCATCATCAACGAGCAAACCTTGACACAACTTCATTCCCAGTGCCCGAAGTTGTCTACTTTTTGGGTCAAGCTGCCGAGCATCTCAAGCACACTGGCCTCAAGAACCTCAGATGTTGCTTCTTCTTCGAGAGACTATCCCGGCTAGTCTCTTCTTTGATTGAACCTAGTGAGGTCGACTTTGAACTTTCCTTAAGGCCCGCCGGTCCTTGGTTAATGTTGAACACTGACAAAGTAGAGCTTCCGCAAAATGCAGTTATCATTTCGCTTCGCGGATGGTCGCTCAGTCGGACCTCTTGAATTCGAGCACCACGTGCGCATTGATGATGTGGCTTCTCACTTGAAAGCAGTAGTGAAGCCCACAGAATCCGTGTATGCGCGTCTTCTTTGGGAGAGTTCGTGGCTGCCACCCGGTCAGAAGCTCTCAGAAACTTCGCTTAACGATGGGGACGTGCTGGAGACACTCTGGGCTTCGGCATCGCCCCTGCCAGAAAACGGGAATGACGGAGCAGAAGTCCTGCCAAGGCGCCGCGCGAACCTTTTGAAGTGCAGCGAAGATTCTGCGGGCCGTTTGGACGTTCTTGATTGCTCAGGAATGTACAAGCTTGACCGGGACTTGGATGGGTTTGAGCAATGCATCACTCCATCACTACAAGTGCTGGATATTCGCCAGTGCGCCTTCAAAGCAGACTTCATTCGGAGGATTTTCGCAAAAGTGCCCGCAACTCTGAAGGAGCTACGTGCAAGCAGGAACATCATTCGTGGATCTGCATTGGAGTGCCTTTGCGACCGGGGACTTAGCCTGAGGGTGCTGGACATTGGCTACTCCCACTGCGAGGACTGCTCTTCATTGCCCCGCATCGGTGGCATTGCCGAAGGCTCTGTGGAAGAGCTTGTGATTGGAGATCTCGAGTCCTTGACGGAAAAGCCAAGGTTGCTGGCTGATGTGCTGCCGCTGTGTCCGCAGCTCAAGCTAGTTGACTTCGCCTGGAATAACCAAGAATCTTTTTTGTCCAACACACTTCAAAGCTTGGCCCAGCACTGTCCTCTTGTTGAAGCGGTGTACGGCTACCGCACAGAGCCGGAAGCCCCTCAGTTGCTCGAGCTTCTGTCTCGATGCCAGAATGTGACACACTTGGAAGTTTCCGGTATCTCCTCCCCCGAGGTTATCTCGAACATGGCACAGCTCCCATCGTTGAGGTCTGTCCGTCTGGAGTTGACATCCTCGGAGGCGGAGTTGATGAAGGCAATGTGTCGCCTTAAGGTAGAGACACTGTATCTCGAGTTCGGATGGGTCGATGACGACGACCACGACGAGGATGACATAGAGTTCGCACTGGATCTCTGTGAGAACCCAACAGAGCTCACAGAGCATTTTTCCAGCTCATCAGCAACAAATGTTTCCCTTGTGGTCGCTGGAGTGGAACCGAGCATCCTTGAAGCAATAGGGTCCCGCTTGCATCAGCTGGGGCCTCTCAGGGCCCACAGCGCAGATCATCCTATCTTGGAGGCGCTCGTGCAGGCTCCCAGTTGCTGTGTCAACCTTGTGCGACTGGACATCAACTTCTACGAACAGATTGACGCGGGCACATTGGCCACAGTGGCCGAGAGATGCCCTTCCTTGAAGATTGTTATGTTGAATGCCGACGAGAACGGCTTTCAGAAAACTCCGATCGATGAGGGCATCCTAGCGCTTGGCCGGCATTGTAGCAAGCTGGAGCACCTGGATCTCTACGATCGTCTTCTGCAAGATCCTGCTACGACGCTGGCCACTGCAGTGGCTGGGTGGCCGCACCTGCGCTACCTTTGCGCTGCTAACACCACCGAGATGTCTTGGGTCGACGCAGATCCAGATTGCCGAATCTTTCGTGCGCTGGCCGCCCATTGCCCGTCTCTCCAAAACGCCGTGTTTTATGACATGCCAGCAGACTGGACAGGCATCCTTCAGGGGTCTTGTCCTCTCTACGGAGAGCTCGACTTGGACTCAGACTCCGAGTAGAGTCGAGTTGCGAGGCGGCCTCGATGTGTAGGCTACTGAACCACAGTCTGCCTGCGATTTTCGCTTCTCTTCCTGCCGACGTTGCAGCTGTAAAATGCGGGATGCAAGCTTGCAAGGTTGCTGGCGAGTCAGTCACTTCATGTCCTCAGTCTGCTGCTCTCATGCTGGAATCCGCAGCGCGCATTGTGCTGGAGTCCACGTCAACATGGTTTACAACATTCCTGGTTGACTTTAGGCGGTGTCCGAGTTGCGAGAGCCTCGAGCGTGAACCTGAAACCGTTCCATGTTCCCCAGAGCATCAGCTGTCCAGGCCCAGGCCACGAAGTCCCAGGAGGCCCAGGACAAGGCTATGGAATCCAGCCTGAAGGACCGGCCTTGGCAGCAATTGCTACGTGCACTGCGATTATGATTCCCGTAGCTCTCTGCTAAATTATGGTGATTATTCTTATCATCCGTACCGTTGTCTACAGCTTGATTTTAGGTTTCATTGTGTGCTTCTTCCTGCTTCGGTGAGCAATGCCTTTTGATTCTTAGTATGGCCTGAAAATGTAGTCATTGGTATTGAGACTTTTCGCATCAGTGTGACTGCAAATCAATCCGTTGCCATTCATATCGCTGTTGTTGGCAGTAGCAACGCGACCGCTATGAATAAATATGGGGTAAGCCTGGAGCTCCTGGATGAGGAACGGATTTCTTTAGGTCTACCTCTGACCTGATTCTGCTTTTAACTTCGTGCAGACCCATGCAGATATATACTTCAGCCGAAGTTAGATCGTCATGCACTCAAACGGAGTAGTGTTGACAACAAGTAGAGTAGATCAAACCCCGACCACATCTCGCTCGACCCATACAGTAGCTCTTATAGAGTCCTTTAATGGACCCCTAAGTACTGGCAATTATGTTCCGGGGTACCAGGACATGGAGTCTCGCTCCGCCTCGAACCTGGAGAAGTTCATTGACTCCGCCGCGGTCAGGCGCGGGCTCGTTGAGCTGTGCCTGGGCTGATCATTCTTGGGTGGGTTTGAGGTAAGGTAGAAGCAGTTTCGAGATCCCCTCTCTTTTCGAGTTGCACAGCTTCCGGTTTACCGGGACCTGGAACACCTGCTGCGTTTCTGTGTGTGGCGACTAGGCTTGGCTGTTTTGTTCGAAAAGCTACGACTGAGAATGGGATTGAAGACGGTCAGTTCTTTGCTGAATTGAGACTACTGGAAGCCAGAGCTTATACCGGTGGAACAGTTGCCGCACATTTTGCGACAGCTCAGGCAGAAGCTTTCCCCATCGCAAAAGACTCAGTTCATGAACGCGGCTATCAACTCCCTGTGAGCCTGTGAGCCATCCAGATCCGGGCTCATTAGAGCGTGGGCGATGCCTTTTCCTTGGGCTGCCTACGAGCTGAGGGGGACGCAGCAGATTGTGCAGGTATCTTTCTCCGAGTACTTACAAGCCAGCCCACAACACGGGGCGTGCTTATGTCGGTCTGCTTTCTTAACGTGCCTTTTTCGCAGCTTGGCCCCGCTTGTGCAAAAGAGTGAAGATTCCATGTGGTTGCTACGCAGGGTGAGCTCCGAATGTGAAGGAGACCGGTCGGTAGATCCAAGCCGACCTGGACAGGTGATCATGGTAAGGGAATACACTAAGCCTTCTCTGGATGCAGTTGTTGCAGAAGGTCACGCTCCTCCAGTCTGACAAGGCTGCGCTGGATCAGATGCAGCTTTCGCTTCAGACTCGGCACTTTGGATTTCTTTTGATGTTGAGGCTCTTTTTTGCCGAGGCTGCCTGAATGTCCAAAACCGTAAAACCTTGGTTGTTTAGGTTCGTGCTGCTCTCTATCATCGCCTCCGTCATGGTTTGCTTAGAAGCATGCCAACAGGAATGTCAAGCCAACCGGCAACAGCAGAAAGAAATACCGACCAAGGCTAAAACTGAAAGCTTTCTGATAGTTGCCTCACACACCAACAGTTCCAGTCAAGCGTTCCACAAACAGTGCGTGCGTGCGTGCGTGCGTGCCTGCGTGCGTGCGTGCGTGCCTGCGTGCCTGCGTGCCTGCGTGCCTGCGTGCGTGCGTGCGTGCGTGGGTGCGTGCGTGCGTGCGTGCGTGCGTGCGTGCGTGGGTGCGTGGGTGGGTGCGTGCGTGCGTGCGTGCGTACGTGCGTGCGTGCGTGGGTGTGTGCGTGCGTGTGTGCGTGTGTGCGTGTGGGCATATGGGCATGTGTGCATGTGCGTGTGTGCGCGCCTGTGTGTGTGTGTGTGTCTCTGTTTGTGTGTGGGCTCGTGCCGGGCAACTCCACTGGGGCCCGAAGCAAAACAAAGAAGAACACGTCATTGAAACTCGCACTACTGGAAGCAACCGCGAGCATCCAGGCAAACGGTAACTCCAACAGCTGCAATAAATTTGCACAAACAACATGGCAGTAGCTACCCAGGAGAATGGCAACAATCTAGAAGAAGAAGACTGTACAAAAAAACACAGTGTCTTCTGTCTTCTGTTAAAAATATGTTTGTGCGATGACACTCTAAGCTCCGAGGCCTAGACTGCGCGGGGGCGTTGGCGACCAGGTGACAGAGGGGTTTCGTTGCCGGAAGGGGGTCTCAAGGCTTAGCGCCTTCGGGCCTGTCCTTGAGGGGTTTTACGGCGTAGGGGCCTGGAGGTTGCAGATTAAAGTGCAAGGTTTCGGAGTTTCGGTGCTGGGTTACACTATTCACTATGCTACACCTGCCAAATCCGACTGAAGGTGCCGTTCAGACTAGCTTAGCGTTCGGCTGAGGGCTTAAGAAAGGTCGCCCGTGCAGGTGGTGAGGTGTGGTGGGACGACTTGGCAAGCCCTGAGATGCAGCATAGTTAAAGGATCTTATAAGGCTTTCCACCTGTGTTTTCTAGTATGGTGTGCAGGGGCAGGGGGTATTTCGGGTCTCTTTCCGAGCCTGGGACCTAGTGGCTCTAGGTAGAGTGTTGGGCAAGGGACCGTCAGCAACTGCCGGTGTCGATGGGTACCCTGGCGATGGCCCTCGTGCCTGTAGTACTCTTGAAACACACCCTTCCGAACTCACAGAACCGCCGGATGCACGACGGCAGCGCCGTAATGCTTGCGGGCACCTCAGAGGAGAAAGTCCGCATCAAATTTCCTGTTCTGGAATACTGCTTCCTTGTTGGAAATATTCGATTTCCGTGAGTTGCTATCAGGGAGGCTAGAAAGGAAAGTTGGGCGAAGGAGTGCACCTGGAGTGCTCAACTTGTCCAGACCTCCCTGAGAAGATTCTTAGTCGTTGAGACATCGAAATCGATCATGGGAACCCCTGTGCATGTTAAGGTGGGTTACAGCCGCTTGCATCAAACATGTTGCGTCGCGAATGTGTCCGCCAGCGTAAATCTGATTTACCACATGCAGCATCTTTGTATAGCATTTGGGGTGCTGAGAAATAATGATGCAATCGCAGTATTGACAGTAAGTTGCCGATGAACGTGTCGGATGGAGGATTGTGCAGACATGCTGGCCCTTTTGTTATTGATATAGGTCGGAAGCCTGAGCCCCGTGAGCAGTTTCACAACACAACCTGAGCCCCCAGGGCACATCTCCGCACTTCAGATTGCAGTTAGCAATACGAAACCCACATCCCGAAGAGCAATAGCTTCAGGATCTCTCTCTCCCTCTTCCTTCCTGCTCGATTCGGGAGACAAGCTACCTAGAAGCTGTTTCAGCGAAACACCTAATTAAGCCTAGAGTCCAAAACCCTCAATTTGAAACCGGTTGCCATGAATCCTTGCCGGGCCGGGCCATGCTGACCGTAAAAACCCCAAACCGACGACCTGTCGAGGCAGCCTTGGTGAGCTGCTTCATCATTGGTTTGGTGCTACTCTTAGCTGGTGAAGGGCCTAGGCCGCAGGGTGAAGAGCGGGTAGTGTACATTCAAATGCCCTCAGCGCAGGTGAACAAGTGCAGGAGGAATTGTGGGAGCTTCTGCGTCAATTAAAGTCTTAACCATGTGTAGCCTAACAAGAGCAGTAGGAACAAGAGGTTTAGGTGCATCCTCAGTCCGCGAGAGAGAGAGAGAGAGAGAGAGAGAGAGAATCATACTCGTTCAGTTCGTACTCCGGGGTGTCGTAACTCTAGTTCGCCGCATGTAATACCATGCGTACCGCCAACAACGGGCGGCCCCCAAGGGCGGGGGTCCGCCTCCCTAGCCTGGCGAAAGAAAGAGAGAGAGAGAGAGAGAGGGAGGGAGGTGCAGAGATGCATGTCAAACTTAGCATGAAGGCAACATCCCAGATTAGTCGTACGAGTGAGTTCCCAGTGTCTTGTAAGAACAAGATATCATCGGCCAACGCCTTGGTGGCAAAGAACAGTATTGGGAGCAGTAACTGGGTTGATGTACCAATGGAAGCATCAGTAGTAGCTGCAGTATGAGCACAAGGACATCAACAAACTATAAAATCAAGAATCTTGATGACGACCACAACCGTAGGGACAATGCTTTTGCCGCTGCCGGAGTTTTGAGGCTTCAGAACCGACAAGATTCCTCCTGGGCTCAGAAATGGTCCTGACACATCCTGACATTATCCTGGCCTCGGCAGTATCCCGTCTAGTGAGTCTGACGATTTCTGGAATATATACCGTTGCCTCAAGCATCAGCTTCGTAGCTCTGATGATTCATTGTTGCCCGAAGCTTATGTGTTGGCAAAGGCACTCTGTACTGGTGCGAGAAGTACCAGCACGAGGCAAGCGAGGACGCTGTCGTTGCTCGTTTTAGTCCTAACTGAAAGGATTTATTTTGCATAGAGCGCATGTTTTCGGTCGAACTAGATATAGCTGCTTCGTGAGTAGTAGCAGTCATACAAGTGCTACTACTGGCATGCAGCAGTACGAAGCTGTATAATGCTAGTAGTAGCAGCAGCAGCAGCAGGCAATTGTCGTTGTTGCTGTCGGTGTGGTCGCAGTTGTTGCCGTCGTTCTTTTCGTCGTTCTGCCCACTCTGACCATAGGGATGGTGCAAGAAGTATTCACAAGATTGGAAAGTAAATGCGTGCTTTGGAATTTGTGGTTGGCTAGGTCCAGGTTTCTCTACCATGATCAATGCTTCCGTTCGGCATGTAGAATGCAAAACCAGGGATCTTGTCAAATGCGAACGATCGCCAGAGCCGTGCAAGCAGAAGCCCGTCCATCCCACAGGTGAAATTGTGATGCGAAAAGCTCATGCCAGTTGCAGTGTTGCGCGAGGCACAGCGGCATAGCGCCGGAAGGATTGCAGCAGCAGCAGTCCGAGGCAGCAAGAGGAGTTCAAGAAATCACTCATGGGCTAGATTCGGCTAGAAGATGTTTGACCAGAAAACCACAGGTTCACAGATTCGTAATTCGTAATATGCAGCTCCCTTCGGCCTGAGACGAAGCGATGGTGGCAGAGAGTTGCAAGGTCGCCCAGCAACGAACCGGATTTGCAAGAAAGAATCAGCCGACCAATAGCTGTAGCAGGTCATCTCACATTTTAAGCCACTTGTTTTGGGGACTTCGAGCCTGTATCACAGGTGCGTGCGCAACTCGGCGCAGCCATCCAAGGCAGCATTGCCTCAACTGTGTTTTGAAACTTGCACCGTCTTTTGTGCAGAGAATGTGTTCAACCAAAAGTTGGCCTTCCATAGTTTTACATACATACTGTCTCTCAGGCTTGATGTAGGCCCGCTGAAAAACTGCACTTTGGGACGTCTTGCAAACGTCGGCTGCGGCCGGGGCGCACCCTCCCAACGAGCGTCGAGCGTCAAATCGGGGGGTCCTGCGGCCTGCAAAAGAAGCCGAAGACAGCAGAAGATAATGTAGGAGATGGTTGCTTTGAAAGCTTCGGATTGCCGCATTTTTGCTTCACCTGAAAATCTGGAGACGCGGTAACAAGGGGTTTTGTAGGATTGTTAGTGTGGTCGCTCCAAAACAAGGTGATCCCCATTCAGTTTGAGTCAACCACGACCGCTCACTCAGTCCAATGACCGTCCAAGCAGATCCCATTGCTGGGAGGCCGACGGACTATGTACCACCTGGTCCAAGATGGCTCGCTTCCGTCGTCCCCCACCGCTGAAGCTGGTACTTAGAGCACAAAAAGGTCGTGCGAACATTGCGTTATGCTTGGTTTAGAGTGAACAGATGAGAATTTCTGCATCTTGGCCTTGAGGATTCAAGTCTTCGGGGCGAGCCATCGGTATGAGAATCTGACGGATCAGGATTGATCACGTTGTGGCTTGAGGGTTGTTGCATGTTACCGGCTCCTGCATGCATCCATCCGACTTTGGTTTGTCAGGTTTAGGGCTTTGAATGTGCAATCCCAGCACGACCAACAAGCACGGCTAAGTCGGCCCGCGGAATGATCGCTCTTTTGCTCGCTCAGCTGCGCAAGGTCATGGTCGGTGTTTGCAATTGATCAGCATCAGTTCACAGAAGAAACATGCCGTTTACCAACATGTCCAACACTAGACTGGTGACTGGTGCGACTGTCGTGTAAGTGTAAGTCTTTACAGGGTAGAAGCGAGCTGTGCTTGATCGACGGCTGGGGCCTCGTTGACCCTTACCTTTGTGGGGTAGCAGCACAGAGGCTTGGAAATGGGAGGCCGGACAGGCCTAACATGTTTACAAGCTGAGGGTATCGTGCCTGATGTGCCATCTTGAACAGTGCAGCATGCCACAGGCGCATGGATCATGCGATGACAGTAGATCATACCGGATCTGCACAACGAGCAGGTGTAACTAAGCATAACCACAGAATTGAACCAAACAGGTCTTGCTTGTGGCTCGGTCGTTGGGCGCGGATGGAGAACTCAGGATTTCATCCACCTCCTAGCACAGATGGTCTATCAGGACTGAAGCACTGACGATCGTGCGCAAACGTGCCTGAGAAAGTTTTGGCCTGGGACACTGAACATGATGTTCCTTCTTCGTCAGCCCATGCCCCAGGCAGACTGCACCGCGGCCCCACCGCAACATTTCGGCTCAGTCATGCCTGTGCTACACCCAGGAAAGGCACGTGAGTTTGATTATCACGATACTCCATAGACTCCAGGCACGCATTCAGTGCCGGTTGCATTCCAGAACTGTTTGAAGCCCCGTAAGCTGAACCTCGCGTGAGGTCACGAGGGAATGTCCGTCGTAGTGTGAGAACATCGACTCGAGGTTTCTGAAGCCACGTGACAGGTTTTACGGTGTTTTCCGCTCGAACTGGGGGCTCGGGACTTGACTCGGGGGGCTGCTTTGCTGTAGTCCGACCTGCTGTTGCTTCCGCGGGCGATGCCGGAGCCAAAAATCCCGAAACCTCTGTACGCTTTTTTTTCCAGAATCCCGGGCTCCGGTCAGACCCCCACCACAAGGTTCGCCCAAACTGTGTGGATTTGAAGAAACTTTGTTACAGAGCAGGCAAAAGATGGGTCATCTGGTCATTCGGCTGCCACCTTCTGTTCAGCGCTTGAACTCGGATAATTCTACGGGACTCAGCAACTGAGCCGAGGACTCTTTGGGCCATCCCGCGATGGCTCGCATTCTTCTTGTTGCGATCTTGGGGCTCCTGAGATTGTCGGGCGCCGTGGACGTCAAGCATCAGGCTGTCGAGGCCTCCGATGAGCAGCTTGCCTGCAATGCAGCTGGGTCTGTGAGGGGCTGATCTTTGGAAGATCGAGTTCGGGTGTTGCAGTCATTTTTCAGCCCGATGCCTCAGGAGCAGGGGGGTAGATGAACTCACATGCCAAGCTTCGTTTCTCCCAATGCAGCATAACTTGCATTCATGGACGCCGGTTATTACTGTAGGCATTGGGTACTTCGTGCTCTAGCTGCCTCTAGCTGCTGGTTCGTTTGGCTGCTTGAACCCGGCTCCATCCATGGCAACCATTGCTGGGAGCATAAGGAGACACGCCAGTGAGAACCACGAGCAGATGGAGGTGCAAGCAGATGGATCTGCAAAGGCCCTGGGAGATGACCTCGAGATGATATGGGGCTTGACAAAAGGTCATCGACGTGAGTTTCAGTGCTTATGCCGTCAAGCTCTTCTCTAGTCAGATGTTTGTCCAGAACCCCCCCAAACAACAATGGTGAAATTCGTTTCGACTCGGTATTCCTTGCTGTGCAAAGCACTTATGGCGGACTTGCTGCTGCGAGTCCTGGCCTGTTGAGCCCCGGTGGACCCGGCTCGCACCTGAGGGAAAGAAGCCATCGACAAGCGGATAATCTCAACAAAACTGCTGCGCACCTGCCAGGCGATGATGCGGCGAGAGAAAGGCTCTGAGAAGGAGGTCGGCGGCCAATATAGCGCAGATGAAGGAGAGTCCAAAATTGAAAGGTTTTGGGGGCTGTGGAGTCTTGGAGCCTTGCCAACTTTGAAGTTTCGGGCTGCCTGTGCCCGTGCGACACTTAAGTTGGCATGAAGGGAAGGAGCTAGCGATGCTAAGCCGCAAAGCCAGAATCAGTGCCAAAATCTTAAACTCAACAAACGGAGGGAGGTCTGTTGGAACGCAGCGCAGGCCGGCGACCCAACACAGACAACTACCGTCTTCGAGGAGGGCGTCGGAACAGACACGACGTCAGGTCAGGACGCCAGCACCGTAGCTCCTGAAAAAGTCTGGAACTTCGTTCAGGTTTCGAGCTAGATTCAGAAAGTCTAAGTCTAAGTTGTCGTGCGAAGGCTTCGCAGGTCATCCTTGGTCCGATAACGGTTCAGGAAAAATTCCTTCATGCAGAGAGACCAGGGAGGAGAAGCATCGGTTGCTTGAGCGACCTGCCGTTCCCACTTCCCGAAAACACGATCAACAAGGCCCTCCCACCCTCTAAGTTCCAGCTTTCGTGGGTCTCGGGGGCTCATGCTGCTCACTTTTGCCAGGCTCAAGCAGCGGTGACGAAGAAGAAGAAGGTGGGACGGATCTCAATCATCATTCTGGCCCTAATCCACTTCATGAATGATGCAGGGCTGCCACACCCCCCCTCCCCCCACCCCATGGTATCCTCCGCCCTTCCCCCCCGCCCCCCCTGTGGTGTGGGGCCTGTGGTGGTATTCTTTTTGCCGCAACATTCTTATGGGTTACTCCTTGTCTTCCCTCTTGCTGTGGCACCGGTGATACTGCTCATGATGTTGTGCTGCTCTAGACCGGGACATGAGTCGACAATCAGACCATGTTCAGCATCATCCTTATCGTCGTCATCTTCATCATTAATACCTTCCTCGAATATCTGCCACCATTACCATCGCCATACAACCCTCATAATTCAGCATTGCCATTCATGTCAGATGCTGGAAACTACTGAGCCGATTGCCGCTTTCCGCACACGGCAGGGCGTAGTGCGACACTCCCGATCCTCGCACAAGGCCCAGGGGCGGGCAAGGTGCGGGCCGGGGGCGGGCCGGGGCGCAGGGCGGGTGGGCGTGCAGCAGCAGGCCAGCAGGGGGGGTGGGGTGATATTATGGGGGGGGTGAAACACTGAATGTTACACATCCAGGTGCCTGTCTGTTTCACGTATCACTTGCATGTATCCATGCCTGTTGCTCAAGGTTCTAGTGCAGTGGACTACAGCTGTGCGCCTGTAGCAAAAGAGACACCTGAGTGCCTGTGTTCCTGTACGCCTAGCGAGGGGATACACGTCCAGGTTACATCTCAACGTGGTAGCGGAGCTCCCGGGAAACGGGAAGCTTCACACTTGTGGAGGTACCCGTTCGGTACTCTCTACACAGGTGGAGGCAACCGGAATACCCGGTGTGCTTCACTCAGGTGAAGGTGACCGGAGTCTCTCCGGCACACTTCACTCAGGTGAAGATAACCGGAAGAGGTTTCTCCCGGGGCTCGATCCAAGAACAGCGCAATGGCTAGCCACTCTGCGACTATCTTTGAGCATGAAGGAGGAGATGATGACTACCTCCTCCACGGAAATGAATCTTTCGCGACTAATCATCGTCATCTCAATGAATTACACCGTCTTTCAGCTTTCCAGCAGGTGACCACAAAGTACCTCCATCTTATGATGGTAGAAGCAGTTGGTTTGCCTATGAAGATGCGATCGATGACTGGTGTGACATTACTGAGCTAGACAATGATAAGCGTGGACCAGCTTTGAGAAATCGGCTAGAAGGTGAAGCAGCAATCCACAAGAGACTTCTCGACAGAGATCGCCTGAAGGACCCGAACAACGGAGTGAAGTACTTCAAGAGTTTCCTGCGGCCGCTTTTCGTGAAGGGAGCAGCGAATGTTTTTCTCTATCGCTTCCAGCAGTTCATGAACATGCACCGTGGGAACGGAGACATGCTTCGTTGGATTACCAGGTTTCAACTCTCTGTTCAGAGAATGCAAGAAGCGTGGAACGATACCTATCTGCCGATCGAGGACCCGAACAATGCAGAGGTCAGAGCCTTCATAGTAGGACTTCCTCCAGAAGAACAAGAAAACCTTACGCCAGCTCAGGCAATGGAGAGAGCCAACGAACGGCTTAGAGAGCAGCATGCTCGGACCATTCCGATCACGCCCAACCTGGTCGCTTTGATCTTTGTGTCTCTGTCTGATCTGACACAGGATCAGCGTCAGGTGTTGACATCACTGATGGCGCATCGGAACCGAGTCCTGGCTGACTACAACACGGCCGAGCTTCGCGAAGTCTACCTGGAGATCTTCTGTACGACCAAGACTACCGTCGACAATCCACTCCTCGCTCCTTCCGGCCACGGTGGCCGCAAGACCTTCCTTGTGATCGATGAAGGATATTTGAACGATCATGAAGGCTACTGGGTCGAGGACGAGGAAGATGGCACCGAAGGTTTCCTCGAAGCGGATGAGGACGCCTTCTGGGTCTACGACGACGAGAACTATTCATGGTTCCAGCGGCGCTTCCAAGGCCGCAAGATGAGGCGCGGATTCAAGGGCCACCGTAAAGGCAAAGGAAAAGGTGGCAAAGGATCCAAAGGAAGGCGCTTCTTCAAAAGGAAGAAAGGCAGGTCACATCTTGCCGAAGAATCAGAAGCATGGCAAGCAGAAGGACAATGGCAAGATTACCAGTGGAGCGATCAGTCCTGGGATGACTGGTCCTGGTATGAGTCTGAGGAATCCTATGCAGCCAAAGGAAAAGGAAAGAAAGGAAAGAAGGGCAAAGGAAAGAGCAAGTTTGGCAAGGATGGAAAAGATGGAAAGTCCGGAAAAGACGGACAGAGCCAGCTTGCTGATGCTGCCCCGAGCGGCACCACAGCCGCCACAACCTTCTTCGTTGAACATCTCAACACTCCGAACTTTTCTTTCATGGCCACCGAAGAGAAGATCAATGAGATCGAGGAAGCCTTCATCTCTCAGCCCTTGACGCCGACCGCGATGGTGTTGGACCTGGGATGCACGAGAGCAATGGCTTCGAGAGTGGCCGCACAGGACCTCATGGAGTTCTGTGACAAGAACCAGAACTGTGGCATATGGTACACCATTGCTGAGACCACTTCTCAGTTCACCTTTGCCAATTCCGAGTCTACCAAATGCAACCAGAAGTTGGTCATTTGCATGTACGACCGGGACTTTGCAGTTCAATCCACAGAGTTCGACATTGTGGAACAAGGGCATGTTCCCATTCTCATGTCCTTACCTCAGATGCGCAATCTTCGTTTCCAGTTCGAGCTCCATCCGGAAAAGGCCTTGCTCAGCAGCCCTGTGCTGGGAATCAAGGATGTGAGGCTGAAGGTTGCACCCAGCTCACACTTGGTACTTGATCTTCTTGAACTCAGTCAGCTGATGTGGAATGTGCGTTTCAGCAAGCATAAGAAGTCGAGCTTCCTCACCTACTTCTCCCACTACGAGTACGGCTTCCATCAGAAGACCGAGGGATGCTGTTCTCCTGAACAGGTACCTGACAATCTCGTGTTGGCGACTGATGATGAATGGGTGATCAACGAAGCCGACATGGAAATGATTCGCATCCACAAGAAGATGAGAAGAGTCAAGTACGAACCCAAGGCGGGTTTTGTGCCAATTCCGTTGGAGTATCTGGACACCAAGCGCAAGACGATCATGGAGTTCTCCAAGGGAAAGAGCGTTACTCAAGAAGATGACTGGCGTTCTTCTGAGCTTTCTTCAACAAGAACTACTGATTCTTGGAAAGGCAAGACCATTTTCAAGATTCTGCCTGGTGGCATCGAGAGTAGAACCTCGGTGCCAGCCAAGTCCAAGGATCCAACCCGTGGAAAGGTGGGATCTCCAGAGGACATGGTTAGCGCAGGTAAGCCTGAAGACAGCTCGAAGAACACAGGAGCATCCGGAAGCTTTCCGCAAGGAAAGGCACCGGCAAAGAGAAGGATTCGAGCCAAGGGAAGCTTTCCACAGGGAAAGGCACCCGAGGAACCGGCTCCTCCTCCTCTTGCTCCTGAAGATGATCCGGATCTTCAAGAGTACGAACCTTCCGAACCGGGGGATGCAGATTTGCTTCCTCCGAGTCCTCCGAAGGCCCCAGAGCCACAGTCGCTAGAACCTAGGAGGATCGCGCTTCCGTTGCCAGGCCACGAGGTCTCAAGGGCTTCTCCGCAGTATCAGCGCATGTTGGAAAAGCTGAACAATGATGTTGAGCTTTACAAGTTGCATGTGAAGCATTACCACATGAGTCCTGCTCAGTTTCGACGCAGGACCAGCATGCTTGGTCTGCCAGGAGAGATCTATGACAAGTACGACCGCATTGTCAAAGGCTGTCGTGTTTGCAGCACCTCGGTGCCTACGCCTCCGCGAGCCAGAATCGCAGGGTTAAGAGCATCATCCTTCGGTGATCTCATTTTTGTTGATCATGAAGAAATCAAGTTCGGTACTAAAGCCTACTTGGCTTTGGTCATCATTGATGGTGCTTCAAATCTTCTGTGGGCTACGGCTCTTACAAGCCTGGAAGCGCCAGAGACTCTGGGAGCTTTTAGACAATGGACAGAGGAGAACAACTGCGTTCCTAAGGGAATCGTAGGAGATCAAGCATTTTTCACGCCACAGTTCATGTCTTACTACAAGTTCCATGGCATTACTCCGTATCCATGTGGACCACGGACTCCTTGGCCTAATCGAGCTGAGACCGCAGTGCGTCTTTTCAAGCGCACCTGGGCAATCATGGCCAAGGCCTTAGCTGATGAGGGTTATGCAGAGAAGGTGACTGTTCGTCAAGCAGTCAAGAAGGTGGCTTGGGCAAGAAATTGCCAGCTTACCGTCTCAGGCTATTCTCCTTTGGAGATAGCTACAGGAAGACGGCCACCAGACTTGTTTGATGTCGAGAACAGTTCTCCTGAACAGCTCTCTGCTGAACCTGCCGAGGAGGATCGAACCACTCTGGAACTCCAGAGGATTGCCATGCGGGCTCATCAAGAGGCTAGACAATCACTTGACCTTCGGAAGGACCTTGCACGGAGAGTCATGCCGTCTGATGGTCCTTACTCGAAGGGTGACCGCGTGTTTGTTTGGCATAAGGATGAGTCGAAGAAGAAGTCTGAAGGAACCTGGGTCAGAGGCATAGTTGTGTCACAGGAAGGTGCCATGGTGTTGGTTGAAGTTCATCGTGCCGTTCTTCGGGTTAATCAGTCGAAGGTCAGGCGTGATGGAGATCCGTGGCATGATGTGGCCATTCCTCTGAAGAAAGATGAGGTCCCGAGACGCTCTTCTCAGGAAGAGGCACTCGACCGCATCGGCGACGATATTCTTGATCGTGCCGGTTCTGGGTTCTGCTATGAGCATGAGATCTGTTACCACACTCTCACTTCAGGCAAGAGCGATTTCGTTGAGATCACACCTCGCCTCACCGGGCTTACTGCGTGCACAGTCCATTCTGGACTTGATGCGAGTGAACCTGTGTTGTTTGGTGAATGGAACGCCAAGTCTATCCAATCTTCGATTGAGGCCGCTTGGCGAGTGATCTTGAAGGCAGAGCCTAATCACATTTTGATTCATCCTGTCATCCCTGATGGTTGGACCAGGAAG